CAGACCTTATCAGCGATACGTCAATAAAACCGTCAATATGGCAGCTGTCAATCAGAATGCTTTCAGCTATGATTGGATAATGCCGCAAATGTCAGATGACGTCATCGATTTCAAAAAAATGTACRAAATTCAAAGAAAATGGAAAAAAGAAGAACATAACGTTGTATTTTTCATGGAATCTGCTGGCCAAGAACATCGCGTATTCATGAAGCCATATTATTGTCATAAAGTTCAAATCTTTTCTTTGAATGTGCCAATCGATTTTATCGTACGCAGCAAAAGAACCAAATTACATCCARGAGAGAGCGTGACAGTACCTAGTAACGCAATGCACTTTATTGTCACCAATGATCACGCACCTTCTATATGGTACTACGTGTTTGATTGCCACTTAGCTCTGTTTCTTGAATCGTTGCGTTACTTTAGTGATGATGGGATAAAATATTCGAAATTTTCTTAAACTAAGTATCCAAAAAAATTAATAATTTGTTCAGGTTCGTACTAAAAGTWTAGAYATAWTTTTTCTGCAAGTGCTTGTRTCCTTATTGAAATATAGTTSTTTATTTATTAAATATTAYYAATACAAATAAAAAGTGTCTAAATKTTTCCTAATTCATACGWGTTAACRTCAGTCAAGCAATATGACGTGGCAAATGACGTCAAAAGTCATCTATATGACGTAGCTAGGCAATGATGTCGGTATCTTCAATGTCTCATGCGTCTGTCGGTCCAGCTAAGTAACGTTGGATATTGCCGTCAGTAGCTCATGTTCGTGTACGTCSATGACGTCATAAAGACGTCACTATTTACGAAGAGCGTCATCAGCGTTTCAGTTCCATGTCACGTCACCAGCATGCAGTCATATGATCAGTCACGTGCATAACAAACAAAGATAATACATCACCATCTACAGGCTTGATCCTCCATCGACCGTTGCCAAGACATCCAGGTTTGTGTTGAGATATGGTATCATCACGTGATACAACTAACCAATGAGAATGCACCATGGTTTCACTTCCACGTGACTTTGCGACCACCTACATTTCAAGTGCATTCTGCTATTTTTTACCTCTTCGACATGAATTCTTCACTAGAGTAACCAAACATGTTAAAGTCATGTCGGTAAAGATTATATAATTCTTCACTTTGCTCTCGGGTGATTTTCTTGAAATATTGCTTTGCGAGATTTAGTGATGACTTTTTATATTTTGAACTCATGTTGCCAGGAAACGCTGTGACGTCATCAACCTGTAGAGTCTTTAATAAGGTGTTGGCTTCCGGTAAGAGGTTTTCAAAATGGCCAATATAGTCATAGGAGATCAGACAAGGATGGCATAGCATRTCATATTGTTTCCAATGTTGATCCATGTATTCCGGATCGGATTTTAACAGATACTTTACAAACTCGGAAAAACTGACACCTTCKCCTGTCCGTAGCGACGTCGGGTCGGGATTCCGTCGGAAATGCCGAATGATTCGCCGCCCGTACATTTTCTTAAAGAGYGTCAAATTGTAAGAATCGATAAACTTGTTTCTATAAGCTGAAACAAGGCGCTCAAAAGGATGTCGAACRAACAAGAATTTGTAATAAGTATTTAGACGATAGACTATTTCGTCGGATGGATACTCGTGAAGATAYCGGAAAAGGCCGTGACTTCGGTTATGTAAATCCGCGATCTTCGGTTGGTATGGGTCAGCGGCGTCTCCATTGAGAACCATYAGAACGCGCTTCCAGTTTGAACAGGCAACCTTCGGTATGTAGCAGTATAAGAGGTTGTGCTTGTCACTGACGATAATATTTCTAAATAGATATGAGGGAACCTCAAATCGTGTTGATCCACGAGGGAAGAGGCTTTTGGGATCGCGTTCATGGCAGTAGTCAATGACTCTCTGTTTGCGTTGCTCTTGAAGYGAAAGCTCCCCATCCTAAAACACAACAAAAAATAAATAAAATATCTCAAAAACCGTTTATACTGTAATACTCATGATTTATTACAACCCAATATGCACAGAAGCTATTGGAAGACACGTAGGTGGCGTTACAAAATGAAAATTTTAAATTCAACTTCCAGCTAGTCTCCTCGCAGCCGTGTTTAGTTTCGGTCACGCGTCACGCAGCCTCTCCACAGTAACTTCCAGCGCGCACTTAAAGAAACACTTTATTGCTTTTGTTRTCCGTATTATATGAATTAATGGTTTAATTATAGTCTTGAGTAGTCTTTGACAAGTGTATTGAAGGGATTTTAGATTGTTAGAAATCCTGTCCCAGTGATCACTATGGGCGAAGGACGATCCGCGTCTGACARCTGCTTTAGCAGCTCGGCCATTGAGGATTTGCRCGATCAAAACGTAAATTGATATCGATTTCAGTATCTGAAATCCTGCTAATTAACAATTAGACCTCGAGGTCGAGTGGACTACGAGCTAATAGCCCATGATGCCGAGTCCGCGAGGCCGAATGGGCTACTAGCTCGTAGTCCACGAGGCCGAGAGGTCTAATTGTTTTAGTATAAACATACTAATCGGTCAAATAATGAAAACAAATTGAAAAATCCTTAAAATAATTTACAATTTATTTATTTTGATTTTCCCGCGAGTGGTCTATCACATATTAGACCATTAGTAGAGTAGCCAATCACAGCGCAGTATGAGTGATAGACCATTAGTAGAGTAGCCAATCACAGCGCAGTATGAGTGATAGACCATTAGTATGTTTATACTAATACACTTATAGAACCTTTACTTTTTGATATGTTAATACATTGAGTAGTCAGACTTGTAAAAATGGTGTTTAGATGTAAATATGTTTGATAAAAACAAGGGGATTTTTGCCGCGGGTTTGATGTTTCAATTCTACATGTGGTATTTACCGTAGAAAACTCGTCGCCCACATTTGTAACGCCTGGTGAATTCAAATACAACGTACCTGTGAAAGCAGTCATGGAGGTTAGTTAATCAACGAATCACACTTGGATTGTTACGATTCGCTGGACACAAACTGTCGTTTCATTTTAATATGTTTTTCGAATTATCGAGTATCGTTTTGATGCATTCGTTTCTGAAATTATGTATTATATCCGTTCTTCTTAGAATYTGAATGTAGTTTTTTTGTATTTGATTTTTTTTATTAGTCTATCAGTATTATGCAAGAAATTGAATAACAAAATATTATTTTCCAGAATTTTTGACAAATAAAATACAACATACAAACAAGATATTTAGACTAAGACAAATTTCATTCCTTGAAATTGTTTTGGCCGATAAATTATGGATTCAAAATCAACKGGCAGAGTCGAGKCMTGCAAAAAAAATACAGTATTGCACACTTTTGTTTAYATTTTCTAACATTATAAACAATAAACAAAAAAAATATTTTCGCAAACTGAGACAAAACAAAGAGAAGGAAAGTCAAAAKTACCAAGAAAATCTTTCAGCTTTAACCTACATTACAGCGACTAAAAGTAGAGCACAAAAGCGCTAACTTGAGACAGGTACCAAAATAGAATATCAAAATAAAGTACAATATAAAATGAAAAATGAAATAGCAAAAATCAAAAATGCTTGCTACCACAAAAAGAGCATGCACTTTGATGAAATAATTATAAAATTACAGCTTGCTTACCTAGTTCAAATGTATCTTGTTCATAGCCTATGTTTAAGGATTCCCAGATCAAYAAAGCGAATAAGCAAAGAAGCGAGAAAGCACGAAAGAGCAGTAGCTTGACCATAATATAGTCAAAAACTCGTACGGTTCACAAGTCAACTGAAAACACCGTACAGTTTGTGCAATGCCAAACTCCACTAGACTCTTCTAGAAGTCATCTGCATACACAACGATGAAGRTCCTGATAATTCACTCAATTTTAAAGCAAATTCGATCCTTTTATCGGATAGTTAAATAGAAGATTTTGCAATTTAAACTTTGTGAGATCATCTTCATRGTATGAATTTTTAAACAATGGATTTGAAGTCAAGCGATGCTTGCAAAGTCAAGTACTATGAGGAAATTCACTGATTTTTTACGGTTTGTAATTTCCATTCTAGTTCTGTTCATAGGGTGGATGATTTCGGCCAATCAGAAGCARGAATACAAACCATGACTCAGTGGGGGAGGTGTCAGTGCTATACTGACATAAAACACAGGAATCCCGTCAAACCATTGCTATTGTATTCAGTTTAACTCGGTGATTAAACATGGCGGCCATCTTGGATTTGAATTGTAAAGTTATCGTTTACGTTGTTCTGACCTTTTGTCAATCATTATTCGCTGTCTTGTATCTTAGTCAACTAATTCTCACTTTAATTTATAGTCGTTGTTTTCGACTTATATTAACCAAATACATCGTTTGGCTTGCCTTAGTAAATTACCAATATCTTATCGGCTTTACTAAAGAACATGAGATTGATTTAAAACAAAACTTTTCTCACAAATGTTCATTTTACTCAGTGTTTTATTCAGTAACATTGCCAGCACAAACATTTTACATTTACCTAATTATAATTATAAAACAAATTTTAACAATGTATTTATAACTTTGTAACTTAACTAYATTTATAGATTTTTTTTATATTATATTTTATAGCTTTTTGTGCTCATGGCTGCCATTGATAACAGATGCATATGCAACTGATGAGCTTTATAATAAGTAAAAGTTTATTCATTCGTTCATTTTGTAGGGAGACATTTCGTATTACGAGTTTTGAGATTATCTGCAGTAATTTTTATGCATGTAATTGTAAAAGTTGTAAAGTTGTGAAGTTAAAGTTGTTTGAATAACATCGCTCATTACACAACGTAATCKACTAAACTATTTAAAGTTTCTTGATATAATGACAACGTCGGATTGCTTCAATAGTTTAATTTCAAGCATGACGAAAAACGTGTCATCGCCTTTCAAAAGCAAATTATCGTGATCAATAGTCCTCCCTTTTTACATAGAAACGCTACCCTATCACGTGTCAAGTCGACTGTAATTTGTGATTCCGTCACCACTATTTACAAACATATCAGTATCAAGCAATTGGGAGAATTTATTTACATAGCAAGATTATCCCATTAGTCAAGCAAATGATTTGTTTATCTAACACGGACGATAGACTCTTTAAGCCGAAGTTTCCTTTAACTATTGAAAAGAGTAATGCTTCGAAGACCCCCACGAAGTCTTTGTCCCAATCTCCTGCTCACTGCCGTTCCTTTGTGTAAAACTTCAGGATCAAATCACTACAACGAATTGCTATTACTTAAACCTAATTAGCTTGAACAGTACGCCTTATAATGCCTTACAACCGTCTGCAGACAAGCTCAAATTTTGTCGCCAAATATTTTCCTTTCTAAGCTCAGGAATGTGTCAGATTAGTTCTGCAATAGTAAACATCAGAAGTGGCTTACGATATATATGAGTTTTACTTACTTTTGAGCTCATTACTTCATGATTTCTTCTTGTATTATAAAACAACAGCGTCCCGGGAGGTCTTATGAGAATCATTTATCAAATTAGGACAATAAATGCTTTGTCAACAACATATTTGTTTATAATAACTAAGAACATCGGTACATGATCTCCTTGCGTAGATTGCTCGAATTAGAATTGACAATCGGTGTCCATCAAAGGATACTAGAGAAAGGAGTTCGTTGCAAGAGTTTCATACCATACTAAAATGATTCGTTTTATGCTTGTAATTCTCTTTCCCTATGTATTAACCAGTGCTAGGTTACTTTTAAGGCCGATTGGATTCGAGCTTCAGTCTTCTTCTTCGACTAAGGGTGGTAAGTTGGGCTTTTACTTTCAATTTTTACTCCCGAGTTTCTTAAAATCCAAAACCCATTTTAAGTCCAGTTTAACCAAAACAAAATAGTTAAATATATTTGYAACAACTCTAGCACGCCTTAACAAAAGTATATTCTATAATTCCCTAAGTTTTCTCAGTTGTCTGATGTTGTTCAAACAAATTAGAACTGAGAGTTCGTTTCATAGTGTCCAAAAATACTTGAGCCCTGATTAGCGTCAACCTCATTACCCACAAGGTTTTCGGCTCAAAATTTCCCCAAACTCACCCTTAAACTGTATGTTACAATAGTTTTGACTCTTTTATGCATTTGATCATATAAAAAAGGACAAAGTTGTCATTGCTGCGAAGTGGTTATTTGCAAATATAAATATGAATGATGATCTTCTCGGAATTCCGCGCAGAACATTAAAAGAAAGCAGATCAAAGMGCCGAGCTGAAACTAAAATGTTTTCAATAAAACTTTCYTCTCAAAGTACACATAAAATGAATGAAGCGTCTTTCACAATCTCAACATTCAAGTCTAGAGTCTGGGTCTAATCTGACAATGTTTAAGTTACGGAAAAATACAAGTTRAAAAACTGATAAAGGTGCAGAAACTCGCTTGCACACATCTCGAGTACTAACCCTAAGAAGTCTAAACATGGCTGTAGCGCGCGGTACCACAAAAGATCAAAATCTTTTACAGAAGACTAAGTAAATAATGTTCAACTGATAAAAAAATCTTTTGTCATTTCATCAACGTTTAAAGTAAATTCAAGTTCAAAGTTTCCGTAGTTCGTTTARAATCTATGACGCATAAGGTCATTTCATACACGCCCCCTAARTGAAGSAWTTGGASTTCTAATTTCCACACTACCTTTCGTTTACAACTAWGAAGCCTTTATCTTGAATTCAAAGTAAATTTCCAGATGATTTGTAACTATATTTTTTGCAATTACAAAGATGTATTAAGGTCAAGCAAGTCTAATGTGAAGACGAGGCGGTGAATTATCGCGCAGACTATAAAGCGAGTCTTAAAAACTTTAGCCAAGACATTCKTAAGAGTGTATAGCGTAATCCATCGGATGAAATACTTCAAAATCATATCAGTTACCCTAGTACATCGACTATTAAGGGCTCTTCGAAGAAAAGTGGTGATCGAAATTGTTTTGATAATCAGGCTGATTCCCGTTAAACGTATATTAGAATTGTATCAAATGAGGACCTGGCTGCTATTTCTAAGTAATGATATGCGATTCCAAACTTTTGCTTTCTACAGCATCGTCAAGTAATCAATCTTATTCCACTCAATGCAACAAATCAGCCTTTCTCCMATGTTGGCCTTTTTTCTGGTTCTCGATGACTTTAACATACCAATGGAAAAGCTATTCTTCGCTGTTTTAATTAATTAAGTCTTAAAGAAATACTTCAAGTTAATTTTATGTTATATTTTATAATTATCGACTATGTAAGACTTATTTGCAGACCGGGAATTCGCCCACTAACATGAAGCGCTTTGYAGACCT